TACCATGCTGATGCCTTGCCTCCCTACTGGGATGTCTTGGTTGCTCATCACTACTTCGTGAACATCCTCCTGTGCAAACCGTGCTACCATGCTCGATCTGAAAATCAAAAGCTTTTGCTGCTTATTGTCCCCCGACTTAAACACACCATCCCAAGGCTCAATTCTTCTACTCTCAGTCATACGGAGAGTTGCAGGGTGTGGTACTGCACCGATATCCCCTGATGAGGTCTGGAGGCGACCGGCCATGGCAGTCGCAATCGCGTTGGCCAGCTCGTCTGCGGAGGGGTTGGGCGATGGGCCCCCAGTCGCTTGCTGGTGTGGTACCCCTTTTTCCTCGTTCCCGCTCCGGAGATCTTCTGTGCTCAGCTGCTCGGCTCGTTGCCGTACCTCCATCTCGGCCATCTTCTTGGTCAGTTTCTCCTCCATCATCTGCTCCATCCGAGCTGCTACTCTCTCGTTGACCAGTTCTTCGATCCTGGCTTCCTCCGCTGCTTGGCGGGCCTCCGCTGCTTGGCGGGCCTCCGCTGCTCGGCGGGCCTCCACTGCTTGGCGGGCTTCATCTTCGCGCCTGGTAGCCATCTTTACCCTGCTCTCTATCACCGCAAAGCGATGCTCCTAAACCAAGCTCGACCGGGAATCTCGTAGACGACGTGTCATACGCTAGCGTGATCGATAATTCGGGTGGCTCGATTCTTTGTGGTTGGGGCTCAAAGCGGGTGGCTCATGGCGGAGCGTGGATGGGTAGAAACGTGTTGAAAACGTGTTGCAAAGTATAGTATTAATCGGGGGCGTGCCAGTGCTCGTCAAACCATCACGGCATCTGGTCACGCCTTCACTCTTTGTCACTCAACGAATCTCTCTGAACCTTCACCAACTACCTCTCGCAACCAAGGAATATATGTAGAAATTTCCTATTCTTCCGCATCTCATCACTGTAACTTTCGTACGTACGTACATAACATCTCAACCGTCATACTATGCTACGAGTACCCCCAATATATCTAATAACTGGCAGCCACGAAATAACAACTGCTGTGACTGACGTCTTCAGACAATGCAAGAATTTTCTCCGACAAGAACGCGACGGGCCGTACAGGCAGGAGAATGGCAAGATCGTGCGGTGCATCGCATGCGGACAATGCAAGATCGTGCGGTGCCTCTCATGCGGTGTGGTGTTTTGCAAGGGATATTGCGGTGGGTGCAGACACCGGAAAAGGGCGGGTGGAAACGACGCGGTTCATTACAACGGCCAAAAACTCACCGGCTTGATCCTTGTCCTCGACGATACCCAAGTGGCGCACCATGTATCCCGCGTAAGCGATCACGCCTAGCTGGACGATCCAAGCGCTGAGCAAACCGACGGTGAGCACCGCCATGGGCATGAACGGAAAGGATGCCATCCTATCCGCGTTGCTTCTCTTAGTCACCCCCTCTCAGTACTCCCGATCAGTCCAGAGAACGGGGGTGGGTGTCCTCCAGGATATTGCCGCACAGATGTTGTGGATGCGAAGCGAGTTTTCTCTATGTATGATAGTAGACGTCCGCCTCGCAGACCAGCAGGCTTATTTTTTCCTCTCGCTCAGGAGGGGCACGAACAAAGAACGAACCGCACAAGCTGAGATGCAGGTGATTTTCTACTCCAAAGACTTCTACGGCCGACCGGTGGGCGGCAGCTGTTTGCTGGGCATTGATGTGGGCTGCGGCAAAGCAGCCTACCGTATGCCGGGACGTCACGGAATTTTGGAAATGAATATCGGAACATGTCAATCGACATACACTAGCAGCGTGGACATCCAATATTACTCAGCAGCGACTTCGTCAACGGACGCACTGCTGTTTGATGTCCGGGAGGAAGCGGATCGCCTTGTCTAGAGGGCTTGCCCGCGGCAGCCTTGAGGCCTTCATTTGTCGAACCTTGGACTTTCAATTAATCTGAAAGACACGCCGGCGTCGTATCGAGGTCTGCAGAAGGACTGGCGAGAGTGATGACCATCATCGTTGAGGTGTTCGGGGAGTTCGGGCTAACGGTGTCGGAGAAGAAGACGGAGACGCTCCTGATGCGCGCAAAGGACAAGCCGACTGCAACATCACAGCCCGCCCCGCCTCCACCGCTGACCATCGAAGCTGCGGGACAGAAATACGCCCAGACGACCGAGTTCCGGGACCTTGGTGGCCTTGCCAACGAACATAGCGACCTCACCCGTGAGATCAGCTACAGGAGCAGAGGAGCGTGGGCGTGCCTCAGGCGATGTGGCCGGGAGCTCTTCGACAGACCGCAAGCGCCATTCCGACTCAAGATCCGCCTGCTCCAGGCGGAGGCGATGGAGGCACTGCTGTACGGCTGCATGACATGGTCACCACTCAACGGCCACTATCAGACGCTGCGGTCGATACACCACCGACTGCTCCTTCGAGTTATCGGGTACAAGCGCAAGAAAGACACCTACCGGCAGCTCTCTTACGCCCAGGCGCCAAAGAGGGTCGAATGCCAGAGCGTTGAAGCCACGATCCGACAACGGCGCCTACTGCTCGCGAGAGCATTGGCAAGGCAGCCGGACGGGCGACTCCCGAAACGACTGATGCTCGGCGAACTGGCAGGTGGGGAGAAGCGACGTAGGGGGGGACAGAAACAGAACTGGCCGAAGTGTGTGCTCGACGACCTGAAGGCATTCGGGGCCGACCACGGATCTACGAAAACCGATCCATGTTGTCTCGGAATCCCGGTACCGAAAGACACGGCACCGAAGTTAAAGTGGACAGAAGCCGCGAAGGTGGAAGGGGGAGTACCCTGGCATGCGGCAGTGCTGCAGGGAGCTGAGAGGTTCATGACCTCCTGGCACGAGAAAAGGCCAGCCGACAACGGGCGCTCAAACGAAACCACAAGCCACCAACCAATGGGGCGGGAGGGGCGCAAGCGACGGACGAGACGGCGAGGGAAGAGAGCAAACGAGAAGAGATTGACCGAGTGACGCGATACGTGCCGGATTGAATTTCTTTTCGCCAATTCCCCCCCCCCAACGCTGCACCATTAGGGTGTGTCTTATCAGGCCAAAAAAATACGTATTTGGTTACGAAACCGTATTTTCTTGAAATATATGGAGGCGTTCCTCTACGTTTCCGTAACAAGAGCGAAGCGTATTTTTAACTGGGCTTGCTCCTTTTACGTTTCGGTGAAAAATTTCCCGCTACCGGAGCAGACACCGGTCACGCGTGCTGTCTTCATCACACCACACCTAGACAGCACCAACAACACCCCAAAGTGCTTCCCAAGGCAACTACACTACCATGCCTGAGCGTGGGAAGCGTCAAGATCCCAGGGGGATCGCAGCGCAACGCCGGGAGAAGCGCCGTCGGCGAGCTATCGACGAGGAGGATGTAGCCCATGACAAGAGATTCACAGTCTTGGGTCTTGTGAGGGCCGTAGTAGTGGCGGCGGGCGTCGTGGCAGCAGGAGAGGCTCATCGTGCCCACTGCCCTCAGGAACGGGAGCCCATCTACGAGCCCAAGCGTCTTCCATGGGCTCAACACGAGGCGGGCCTCGATAAACGGCACGGGTGGCGGCGGTCGTACCGCATGAGAAAGGCAGTTTCCACAAGCTTGTCGAGCTCTCCGCCCTTCGCTGGAAGTCAACGCTTTCTTCGGCGGTGAGTGTTGATGTGTAGATGCAGCCGCCCACGGCAGGTATGCGTGATGAGGGTTCTTCTGGTGTATATGTAGAAAGCAACGGGGAAGAGCACAAGTCTAAAACATGTGCTGTACATAGACTAGTCTACACTGCTGTATGTTCCTGCTGCCTTTTTTTAAAAAGCAACTCGCTCGTCGAACATGCGGCAGCAGGGTACGTACNCACATAGTCTAGTCTACACTGCTGTATGTTCGTGCTGCCTTTTTTTAAAAAGCAACTCGCTCGTCGAACATGCGGCAGCAGGGTACGTACAGCGCAGCAGCAGTATTGTACGATATGCATACATCAGTAGACACATACTTTGTACAGCAGCGGTCATTGTATGGGTTAAAG